ATTAGACGCGCTCTTAAGTCTCTAGCCGCACGACTTTAGTAAACTACAAAGCCGCACACAAACACACACTTTACTTTATTACATGAAAAATAAATCAGGTCCTCTTTAAAGAAAATCTTGTCTTATCTTCACGGAGACAAGCAGGTGACAGACCCTCCACCAGAAAACTTTTAATTTAAATATCATAAAAGTCTTATGAATGTGAAACTTGTCAAAGAAGTGATGCTTTCAAGTTAATTTTCGTTTTTCAGACTCCATCTAGTGGCAGAAAATGGTAGAACAGTGCAGCTTTGAATTCAGTATCTCTGTTTAAACACCACGAAGAGTTTAATCATCATCATCATCTTTATTCTGGACTCATGGTCCGTTTTTAAAAACAGACAAGGACAGTGACAATACAAAACAATAAACATTCATGTTTTTAAAAGAGCCACACCAGTGTCTCCACATGTTGGGCTGATACCTTATTGCACTGAATCTCAGATTTGTGAGTGACATTAATATTTCACTGTGTGATTTGTTCACTCTGCAGATAAAACTGTACATTAAAATTCTTAGTGCAGTTTGCAAAGTGTTCACTCGTGCAGTAACAAACATTTCAGTCACACTCATCCATCGTGGCCTCCTCAAAAGCACCGTAAAGCGTCATTTGAGTAGAGTATTTTTCACAGTTTTCATTGGCCGAACAACTAGCATCCAAATACCGTACTTCCTTGTTTATGGACAATAAAAAGCTTTGTAATGAGCTGCTTCTACGATATATCTGTACTGGGGCAAGACACATTTTGCTCAGATAACAGAAAAACAGCCCCTTTGTCAGTGTAAACATTAGAGTATGTAATAAATATGTAATAAATATGTAATAAATTATGTAATAAATATGTAATAAATATGTAAATAGTTATATTCCATGAGCTTTGTTGCTGTTTCACTGTTTCTGTCCAGTGTGGTGCATGTAACTCCTCATTCAAGCATGTGTGTGTGTGATTACACGTTATTATCATTTTATTATCACACATGTTATTATCACACATGTTATTATCACACATTTATTATCACACATGTTATTATCACACGTTATTATCACACATGTTATTATCACACATGTTATTATCACACATGTTATTATCACACATGTTATTCACACATGTTATTATCACACATGTTATTATCACACATGTTATTATTATCACACATGTTATTATCACACATGTTATTATCACACAATGTTATTATCACATGTTATTATCACATGTTATTATCACACATGTTATTATCACACATGTTATTATCACACATTATTATCACACGTTATTATCACACATGTTATTATCACACATGTTATTATCACACATGTTATTATCACACATGTTATTATCACACATGTTATTATCACACATGTTATTATCACACATTATTATCACACATGTTATTATCACACATGTTATTATCACACATTATTATCACACGTTATTATCACACATGTTATGACCACACATGTTATTATCACACATGTTATTATCACACATTATCACACATGTTATTATCACACATGTTATTATCACACATGTTATTATCACACATTATTATCACACATGTTATTATCACACATGTTATTATCACACATGTTATTATCATGTTATTATCACACATGTTATTATCACACATGTTATTATCATGTTATTATCACACATTATCACACATGTTATTATCACACATTATTATCACACATGTTATTATCATGTTATTATCACACATTATTATCACACATGTTATTATCACACATGTTATTATCACACATGTTATTATCACACATTATTATCACACATTATTATCATTATTATCACACATGTTATTATCACACACGTTATTATCACACATGTTATTATCACACATGTTATTATCACACGATATGATCACACATGTCATGATCTCAAATTATTATCATGTCTTATTATCACATGCTATGACCATTCATGTTATTATCACACGTTTTGATCACACGTTATTATCACACACATTGTAACATGTTATTATCACACATGTTATTTTCACACATTATAACCAATGTTATTGTCACATTATTAGCACACAGATTATTATTAAATTTAAGTTTCACACATGTTATTATTTCACGTTATGACCACCTGTTTTTATCACATGTTATGGAGCTCAACAGTGGCCGGTCGCTCTGGTTCTGGATGCAAATTTTCCATAAACTTTTTTTTTTAGAAAAAAAAAAAGTCAGATATTAAGAGATTAAAGACATCACAGAGGCTAACCAGCTACGTGCTAACAACAGTTATATACATAATGTGGTTGTTCAAAAAGCACATTTAAAACACAAGGTTCAGTGAAATGTTTTTATAACTTAGCAGTTTATAAAGTTTCAGGAACAGATTTTAAATAAAATTATAGCTCTTGTGGTCATTAGTTCCATAGAGCTCATCATACTTTTAATAAACTTTTTTTGGAAAGTCTATAGGGAAAAAATTATGGAAAATTAAGTTCTGTAACCACAAGGCGTCACTGTTGAGCTCCATTTTCATAAATGTTATTATCAAATGTTATTTTCTAGGGATGGGCGATATATTGGTTCCAGTATCATATCTGCCAGTAGATTATTTTTGCATCAGATTTGTGTTTTTGAACAGACTCATGGGGGAAAATGGAAACAGACGATACATTTTCTTCTTATTCTTATTTTTACAAAGTGAAAGTAAATTTCTGAACTTTGCTTCAGCTTAAGACACATTTGTGGGCCTCGCTGTTGATTGTAAAAGTTAAAGCAGCAGGTCAAATTTCGGATATCGGTATCGGTTCCAAAAGTCCATATCGGCCCATCCCTTTTGTTGTCACTCATGTTATTCTCACTCCTGTGCTCAGACTCTAGTGTTTACGTTTGTTTCTTTTTTGTTTTTGTTTTATTTTGTTCATTTTAAAGGTGACGGTGCCAAAGAGGAAACACAAAAGTGACAAACCCAAAAGTGCAGAGAGCGGCTGTTCTTCCCCCGAGCCCGACCAGCACGACTCCTCAGGCAGTGAACGTAAGACACACAGACGACGTCACCACCCAGAGGATTCAGACAGAGCGTGTAGAGGTTTACAGAAATGTTTATTCACTTCACACTCAGGGGGAGGGAAGCTGCTTCTGTAGCTGCCGTGGGACAGACTGATGCGAGTGAGGCTGCCAGTCTGAAACAATCACAACCCGAGTGTCATTCGTTCATTCGGTTTTCAATGTAAAACCAAAAATAAGAAAAAGAATAACAACAATTTTCTTCATTGTCTCCAAAACCAAAATGAAAAAACAGATAATGATTCGTTTTAATGTTATGGAGTCTATTCACAAGAAACTGACTGAACCGGGACTAAACCAGGACTAAACCAGGACTAAAGTGGGACTAAACCAGGACTAAAGCAGGACTAAACCAGGACTAAACCAGGACTAAAGTGGGACTAAACCAAGACTAAAGCAGGACTAAACCAGGACTAAAGTGGGACTAAACCAAGACTAAAGCAGGACTAAACCAGGACTAAACCAGGACTAAAGTGGGACTAAACCAGGACTAAAGCAGGACTAAACCAGGACTAAAGTGGGACTAAACCAGGACTAAACCGGGACTAAAGTGGACTAAACCAGGACTAAACCAGGACTAAACCAGGACTAAACCAGGACTAAAGTGGGACTAAACCAGGACTAAACCAGGACTAAAGTGGGACTAAACCAGGACTAAAGCAGGACTAAACCAGGACTAAACCAGGACTAAACCAGGACTAAAGTGGGACTAAACCAGGACTAAACCAGGACTAAACCAGGACTAAAGTGGACTAAACCAGGACTAAACCGGACTAAAAGTGGACTAAAGCAGGACTAAACCAGGACTAAACCAGGACTAAAGTAGGACTAAAGCAGGACTAAAACTCCTCTGACAGAAAGACTACTGAAGACAAGGAAAATGTCCTTAACCAGGACTAAACCAGAACTCAATCAGAACTAAACCGAGACTGAACCAGGACTAAACCAGGTCTTAGTCTTGGTCTCAGTCTGGTCCCGATCTCAGTAGTGGTCTGAGTCCCGGTCTGAGTCCCGGTCTGAGTCCCGGTCTGAGTCCCGGTCTGAGTCCCGGTCTGAGTCCTGGTTCAGTCCCGGTCTCAGTCCTGGTCTAGTCCCAGTTTCCTGATTACCCGACAGTCTACGCTGGCGCATGTCCCGGCCAGTCCTGACACTCCTGGTTCAGTCCTGGTTCAGTCCTGGTTCAGTCCTGGTTCAGTCCTGGTTCAGTCCTGGTTCAGTCCTGGTTCAGTCCTGGTTTAGTCCTGGTTTAGTCCTGGTTTAGGACTGAGACCAGGACCGGGACTGAGACAGTTTTTTCCATTATTGATTAAAACACAAAATCAAAAAATGAAAAAACAAATCGTTATCCGTTTTTTCATTTTGGTTTTGAAGACAAATAATGAAGAAAATTGTTGTTTTGTAGTTTGTTGTTGTTTTGTTTTTTCATTTTATCATTTTTGGTTTTATATTGAAAAATAAAAGCACGATTGACACACGGATTGTCCACCACCTCTCAAACTCTCACACATGTGGCCTTACGGTTTTAAAAAAGCAACTACTGAACCTTTGTTAGATCCTTCACCTGCAGACAGAGACACGTCAGATTTTGTCTCCGTCTTAGTTTATGTTCAGGCCTCATGTGAAGCTCAGAACCTCCAGAACTCCCTCCCTGAGCTGCAGCGGCTGCACTAGCACTGACTCAGGACTGGTGCAGGTTCTGGGGTTTAGGGAAGGACCGTTCAGATCAGAGAGAAGCATTTGAGGTTTAAACACGCTGAACTTGTCTTGAACCAAAACATCAAATTATAACACAACAAATGGGGCGTCGTGTCACGTGTTTTTGTTAAGATTATAGACGCGTAGCTTTGTTCATTGAGGATCGTGTTGGACATTTGCTCGTGTCGTGTGTTAAAGTCGTGTTTCTGCGTCAGGACACAAGAGCAAACACAACAGTCGCCTGAGGAAGAAAGGAGCAGAGCTGAGCGAGCTGCAGAGTGCCATCGACTCCATCAAACAGACTCAAGAGGACATCAACAAGTGAGTCTGAGCACACACCTGGGCACACACCTGGGGTAGACCTGGTTTAGACCTGAGTTACTCTCAATTTAGACTTGGTTTAGACCTGGTTTAGTCCTGGTTTTGTCCTAGTTTAGTTCTGGTTTAGTTCTGGTTGAGTCCTGGTTTAGTCTTGGTTTAGTTCTGGTTTAGACCTGGTTTAGACCTGGTTTAGTTACCTGGTTTAGACCTTGGTTAGACCTGGTTTAGTTCTGGTTTAGTTCTGGTTGAGTCCTGGTTTAGTCTTGGTTTAGTTCTGGTTTAGACCTGGTTTAGACCTGAGTTACTCTCAGTTTAGACCTGGTTTAGACCTGAGTTACTCTCAATTTAGACTTGGTTTAGACCTGGTTTTGTCCTGGTTTTGTCCTAGTTTAGTTCTGGTTTAGTTCTGGTTGAGTCCTGGTTTAGTCTTGGTTTAGTTCTGGTTTAGACCTGGATTAGTCTCAGTTTAGACCTCGTTTAGACCTGAGTTAGACCTGGTTAAGTTCTGGGTTAGTGCTGGTTGAGTCCTGGTTTAGTCTTGGTTTAGTTCTGGTTTAGACCTGGTTTAGACCTGGGTTAGTCTCAGTTTAGACCTCGTTTAGACCTGAGTTAGACCTGGTTAAGTTCTGGTTTAGTGCTGGTTAAGATTTGGTTTAGACCTGGGTTAGTCTCAGTTTAGTTCTAGTTTAGAATTGGTTTAGACCCGGTTTATTCCTGAGTTAGACACGGTTTAGTCCATCTTTAGTCCTGGTTTTGCCCTGGTTTAGTCCTGGTTTAGTCCGGCTGTAATCCTGGTTTAATCCTGGGGTAGACCTGGTGTGGACCTGGTTTAGTCCCAGTTTAGTCATGGTTTAGTCCTGCTTTAGTCTTGGTTTAGACCCGGTTTAGTCCCAGTTTAGTCTTGGTTTTGTCCTAGGTTAGACCTGGTTTTGCCCTGGTTTAGTCCTGGTTTAATCCTGCTTTAGTCCTGCTTTAGACCTGGTTTAGTCCTGGTTTAGTACTGGTTTAATCCTGGTTTAGTCCTGATTTATTCCCAGTTTAGTCCTGGTTTAATCCTGTTTAAGTCCTGCTTTAGACCTGGTTTAGACCTGGTTTAGACCTGAGTTACTCTCAATTTAGACTTGGTTTAGACCTGGTTTAGTCCTGGATTAGTCTTGGTTTAGTCCTGCTTTAGTTCTGGTTGAATCCCGGTTTAGTCCTAGTTTAGTTCTGGGTTAGACCTGGGTTAGACCTAGGTTAGTTCTTGTTTAGACTTTATTTAGACCTGGTTTAGTTCTAGTTTAGTCCTGGTTTAGTTCTGGGTTAGACCTGAGTTAGACCTGGGTTAGTTCTGGTTTAGTTTTGGTTTATACCTGGGTTAGTCTTTGTTTAGCCCCAGTTTAGTCCTGGTTTTGTCCTGGGTTAGACCTGGTTTAGTCCTGGTTTTTGTTCTAGGTTAGACCTGGGTTACTCCTGGTTTAATTCTGGTTTAGACTTGGTTTAGATCTGGGTTAGAGCTGGGTTAGTCCTGGTTTTGTTTTGGGTTAGACCTGGTTTAGTTCTGGTTTAGGTCTCTGCTTTAGTTCTGGTTTAAACCTTGTTTAGGCCTGGGTTAGACGTTTTTTAAATCCTGGTTTAGCCCCAGTTTAGTCCTGATTTAATCCTGGTTTTGTTTTGGGTTAGACCTGGTTTAGACCTGATTTAGACCTGGGTTACACCTGGGTTGCTTCTGGTTTAGACCTGGTTTATACGTGGGTTAGACGTTTTTTAAGTCCTGGTTTACTCCTGGTTTTGTTTTGGGATAAACCTGGTTTAGTCCTGGTTTTGTCCTGGGGTAGACCTCGTTTGGACCTGGTTTAGTCCTGGTTTAGTCTTGGTTTAGACCCGGTTTAGTTCTGGTTGAGTTCTGGTTTAATCCTGGTTAAGGACATGTTCCTTTCTGTCAGAGGGATTTTAGTCCCGCTTTAGTCTTGGTTTAGCCCCAGTTTAATCCCCAGTTTAATCCTGGTTTAGTCCTGGTTTAGTCCCAGTTTAGTCCTGGTTTAGTCCTGGTTTAGTCCCAGTTTAGTCCTGGTTTAGGTCAGTTTCTTCTGAATAGACTCCATAACATTATTACACACAAACACACACACAACACACACACACACACACTCTCTCTCTCTGTTTCCTTTAAACCCTGTCACACTCCTCTGTCTCTGTCTCTGTCTCTGTCTGTGTCTCTGTCTCCCCCTGCAGGAGCATCAGTGCACTGCGGACCCGGACGGCGTCTCGACCCGAGCCCACGTCTTTCCTCCAGCAGAGGGACTACGTGGTCATCGCGCTCCTCATCCTCCTCCAAGTCTTCATCAACTTCCTGTTCAAGTGACGACAGCGAAACCGAGGAGGGACAAAAAGAACGAACTACGCTCTGAAAAAAAAAAAAACAACTCTATCTGACCTGAAATGGCTTGAAATCTGAATATTCGTCTTAATTTGAGCAGTTTTAATTAGTTTACACTTTTTAAACATGTTTAAAAAATTTTTTTTACTCTTTAAACTCTGTTATTTGCGAAAGGAAGGACAATTTTATGATTTTATTTCAATTTGAGCTGTAACAGATAACGCTAATTTATAAATAGAGATTCCAAAATGCCAAAAAGTGAACAAAACAATAATAATTTATACTTTTTACAGCATAAATGAACCTGATAGAAAACATTTTTGTGCTTTCTAACATGTGTTCCTTCGTTAACACATGCCTGAGGTGGTTTTATAGGTCACCCATGCATGTTTGAGTCATTTAGTGATCTCTCCTAGGTCCTATTCAAGCTCTGTTTACGTTTAGCTGTAAGATTCTGTACGAGGCTCCGCCCACAAGTCCACACGACAATACATGCATCCTGAATTTCGGACTTAAGGTCATCGCGCAATCCACACTGGGAAGGATCCTCTGAAAAAGTGAGCATCAAATCGTCATGTTTGTTTTCCCAGTGGGATGTGTCTATTGTCAAAGTCGTTTTTTTCAAGTCTTTTGAACCATATCACTTTTGTTTCTGGTTCTGATATTGTCATATTTTAGTTTTGGGATTCAGACATCGTAATTGTGTGGTTGTTGGATCCTAACAGCGGAAAACGGCTCGAGAAACGGGCTTCGGAAGTTTGCGAACTTCCATAAATGCAAAAGTGAATCAGATGTGTGTGACTCAAACCTCCGTTCAAACTGTTTCTTTTCCCAACGGAATTGAAAAATAGTGAAAGGTGAAGGTGATGGGCAGGATTGATCCACAGGAAGAACCAAAAAGAGAAACATTTGACTGTCTAAGAAATCATCCTGAGTTTGCAGTGAACATTTTGTATGTGGAGCGACAACAAAACAAAATCCTGATCCCTCGCTCAAACTTGGTTACGAATTTAAAAAGTCAACGCCAAAGTGAAAGGCTCCAACTGTTCACCAAGAAACACCTTCCACTGCAAAGAGACCAAGACGTGATGTTGCTGTAAAACCACAAGAACAAGAAAGTGCAGCTCAGTCTGTTTGTCTTCTGCTCCTCTCCATTGACAAACGGGATTTTGTTTTGTTGTCGCTCCACATACAAAATGTTCTCTACAAACTCGGGATGATTTCTCTTTTTGGTTCTTCCTGTGGATCAATCCTGCCCATCGCCTTCACCTTTCACTATTTTTCAATTCCGTTGGGAAGAGAAACAGTTTGAACAGAGGTTTGAGTCACACACATCTGATTCCCAAACTTTCGCAAACTTCCGAAGCCCGTTTCTCGAGCCGTTTTCCGCTGTTAGGATCCAACAACCACACAATTAACGATGTCCGAATCCCAAAACTAAAATATGACAATATCAGAACCAGAAACAAAAGTGATATGGTTCAAAAGACTTGAAAAGATCCACTTTGACAATAGCCAGTCTTTATTGCGCGATTACCGGAAGTCTGAAATTCAGGATGCATGTATTCTCCATAAATATACAAAAATGTGACAAATTACTTAATAATTAGTGAAATAAAGGTGCACTGTGTAACTTTTCCGGTAAGAGTTCAGCACCTCGTTGTGTCCGTGGAGATTTATTAAACCTGCTTATTATTTTTAATTAGAAGTTTTTACAATTTTAAAACAACTTGATAAATACGGATTGTACCGTAAGTGGGCTCTCCTCTCCACAGACCAGACCTGTAAATCGGCTCTGTGCTTGTCTCCATGGAAATACATTTAAGTTTAATGTCAAACTGTGAAAAAAAAGTTCCACGGAAAGTTCCACAGTGCACCGAAAATGAGTAAATAAAATGAATTGAACACAAACTTCTCAAATTGAAATTCCTGTTTAGATTTCAAGTCTCTTCAGCTCATTTAGCCGTTTTATTTTTCAGCGTTCCAAGACTTTTTTTTATTTATTCAAACTACGGTTCATTCCCAAAAAAAAAAAAAAACTATTCCTGGAGGATTTTCCGGAGAGCGAAGCGAAGAACTGCCACAAAAACTTCAAATTTCGCCTTTGTGACGTTCGAAGGCGAAATGGTTTTAGTTTAGATTTTATTTTATTTTTTACAAAAGTCGAGTTACATTTCACTCCCGGTGGATTGTGGAAAAACGCTCAAGGAAAAAAAAACAACAACAACAACTTGGAATTTCACTTTCATTTTAATCAACGGAGGAAGACGACAAAAGCGCGGGCCAATGTTTTGTTTTGTTTTTTTGATATTTTAACGGTTCAAACAAGGATTTCAAAAGGAACAAAGCTATAATTTTACTAAAGAATTCACATTTTGAGCTGGAAACTTGTACAGGTAGCATGTACAGATGAAGTTAGCGTTATATTAGCAATGTAATGTACAGTATTCCGACTGAAGGCGCAAATGAGCTGCGGACGAGCTCGTTTCCGGAATTTTTGGTTCGATATTTAAGTTTAAAATCATTTCTACGGCAAAGCAACGTGTCAGATTAGGTTATAATATTTTTAGTCTAAGTCGCACCAGCCAAAAAATGAGTAATGAAGAAAGAAAAAAACACAAGTCGCACTTTTTTGACGGAGATTTATTTTAGAAAATCAGAGACCAGGAACCGACATTTCATCTTGAAGTCAAGTTCTAGTAAAAACAATAGAACAGAGAACAACAAACCTCACAAAAATCACAAAATGGGGAAGTTTAAGAGGCCCAAATTTGAGCAGATGCATTACCGTATTTTTCAGGCTATAAGTCGCTCTGGAGTATAAGTTGATCCAGCCAAAAAATGCGTAATGAAGAAGAAAAAACATATATAAGTCGCACTTTTTGGGGTAAACGACCATCTCACTCCAAATCACTAAATCCATTCAATTCTTCATCCTCGGTGTCACTTCTGAGCAACTCGGCCTCGACCTCCGGACGTAGTTAGAATTATTCGGGTCTTTCTGAATCCCGACAGGATGGTTTCGGTGTCACTGAAGTCCAGGCTTTGTCCATCCATCCAGTGACTTCAGGAAAGTTTCATGGTGCATCCTCCCGGTTACCGTGAAGCTGTGTTCTCCATCCCCGCTTTCCACCAGTCCCTCACAAGTTTCTGTCCCACACCAAACTTTCTTTCTGCTGCTCGATTACCGTTTTCGACTGAATATTTCACGACTTGCAGCAGGACAGAGGCTCTTTCTGCAGGAGACATGCGCACAGTAGAGCCAAGTGACAGTGGTACAGGAGGAACAGGAGCAGCAGATACTCACACACAAGACTAGAACCTCTCCACACTTCACTGTCAACATTTTAATATATAAGTCACAGGAAACACCCAAACCATGAAAAAAAAAGTGCGACTTATAGTCCGAAAAATACGGTAAATTAAATAGAAGAAATAAAACTGGTGAAATTTGGTGTGTTAATCTATTTCCTTATCAAACACAGACCTGGAGTTGTGTTTTGTTTCGTTCACACTTGTTCGACGCACAACCCTGCTTCTTCTCTCGGACTGAAAACGCTCTGTTCCACCTCGTGATGTCATGTGGTGATACAGGAAGTGCTCCTCGGTGTGTTTTTAAACTCCACGCACCTTCGCTAGAATCATTTGGATCATTTCAGCTCTGGAATTGTCGATCTCTACTGAAGTAAAGGTTACAAAAAAAAAGGAGCTGCTCACTTAAAAACTACGGCTTCATGACATCACAAGGTGGAACAGAGCGTTTTGAGCTTTGGAGACGTAGACAGACTAATAATAAAGGTTTGTTTTTGAGAAGGAAACAACATTATAACACAATTTAAAGCTCACAAGAGTCACTTTTGCGTAACATATGACGTTTGATCTGGTTTATTGTTCATATCTCTGTCATTTCTGGGCCTAAAATTAGTTTAAAAAAACAATCTTCATTCAAATTTGTGTTTTAGAAATTGGCTAAACAGTCATATTCTCTTTATACACCTTCTTTTCCACTTTTTAGGACATAAATTTGTACGGAATTGTGCGTACTTTTCTGTGCATTCTTAAAATTTCAACTCAATTTTCTACTTTCGGATAATAAACTTGGTGCAAAGGCTTGAAATTTTGCGCAATTTTGCTTGTAAGACTGAATAAATTTGGGGAAAATCGAGAAAAGACTGAAATCTGAACTGACGAAATCAACACGAGACTCCCGTTCATTTCAGAAAATTTCATCGTTTGCAGGAATAAAACCTCCGTGGAGACGCCGTTTGTAGGTCTAAACTCCAGTGCCACCTTCTTTTACGCAGAATTAAACCAGATATTTTGTTGCTTGCCGTTGATATTTACAAAAACTACCTGAGCCCCCAGTCCGCAGCGCACTTGTGCCGTTATAAAGCGAGAATACGGTTCTATAGACACTTTAGTATCATGTATAGATCAGGGAGGAGAATAGACTTTTATAATAACGGTAAAACTCCATTGTAAGTCATTCCAGTCCAAGCCAGACAGTCTGAGGTAGGTTAGGTCCCTGTGTTCACTGTGTAAAATAGACACATATATTTATTTAAAGGTGCATTGTGTCGCTTTTTTTTTTTTTTTTTTTTTTTACGCCGGAAGGTCCACGTCACCTGCTTGATTCGACGGGTTGGTGGTTTTCAGGTTCAAGAAAGTGATGATGGCACTTCCAGATGAGGAACAAGAGCCGGTTTAAGTAATAACACGGTACTTTGCTACGAAATATCAGAAACGTAAACTCACAAATATGGATCCTGATCAGTTCTGTTACTGACTTAGACTTAAGACCAGATCTGGGCGTTGTAAAGCTCCCAGGCCACATGCGGCTCTTTGGTCGACTCTGAGCGGCTCGTTTAAAGGGACAGTTCGGAATTTTGGACATAGGACCTCATTTCCTCGTGATCCAGAGTGTTGGAGACGTACGGAGACGCTTTTTGAAATATTCCATCCAGTCCTTGTATTTGCAGAGGTCGCTGGTCTTACCCACTGCACAAAACACCCGAAGAAAATCTGTTATTACACCAGACTGTTCAT